TAACCCAATCAAATTAAATGGACTAAGGAGCTGAACAGACACTTCTCAGAAGAAGATATACAATCAATCAACAAATATATGAAAAAATGCTCAACATCTCTAATAATTAGAGAAATACAAATCAATACTACTCTAAGATTTCATCTCATGCCAATCAGAATGACAGTTATCAAGAATACAAACAACAGGAAGTGTTGGCAAAGATGTGGGGAAAAAGACACACACATACATTGCTAGTGAGACTGCAAATTGGTACAACCAATCAGGAAAGCAGTATGGAGATTCCTTGGAAAACTTGAAATGGACCACCATTTGATCCATCTATCTCACTCCTCAGTTTATATACAAAGGACTTAAAATCAGCATATTATAGTCATACAACCACATCAATGTTTATAGCAGCTCAAGTCACATACCTAAACTGTAGAACCAACCTAGATGCCCTTCGATAGATGATAAAGAAACTGTGGTATATGTACACAATGGAATATTACTCAGCATTAAAAGAGAACAAAATTGTGTCATTTGAAGGTAAATGGATGGAATCGGAGAATGTCATGCTAAGTAAAGTAAGCCAATCCCCCCAAACCAAAGACTGCATGTTCTCTGATAAGTAGATACTGTTCCATAATGGGGGGGGGCATAGGAAAAATGGAGGAACTTTGATTGGGCCAAAAAGAGAGAGGGGAAGGCAAGGGAGGGATTATGAGGGCAAGAAAGATGGTGAAATGAGATGGACATCATTACCCTAGGTACAAGTATGACTTCACCTATGGTGAGATGCTACATCATGTACAACCAGAGATATGAAAAGTTGTGCTGCAATTGTATACAATGAATCAAAATGCATTCTGCTGTCATATTACCTAATTTGAATAAGTAAATAATTTTTTAAAAAAAGAAATCAGTTCCAAGGAAGGGATTGGCCATGTGTCTCATTTGTCTTCATTGGCCTTCCTTTCAGTTGAAGAAATTACAGGTGCCCTTAATAAATTAAAGTTACATTTGCCTGAAAAAGACAGAAAATTTACTGACTGGCGGAAAATAATTACGTACACAGTAGGATAAGAAGACACGTATAGGCAATGGTGTTACTGTTCAATCAGTAGTATTGTTCTCACCAAATTTGTGGCCTGTACATGAATGCATGCAGAATGAATTTCCAAATACCCAAACAACCTAGATGCATGACACAGAAAATGGGAAAATCTAACAGGAAATGCTTATGTTGGTATATGTATATAGCCAATCATAGAATTTCAGAAAGATCAAGACCACATAGAGAAATGAATGTGAATGTTTTCTCCAAGAAGAGTATACCCAGAAAGAAAAAAGCAGGTATTCATGATGATGCAAGCCTTCAAATACAATTAACGATGTGAAAGTCAGCCAACTCTTATGTTCCATCTCCCTACAATTGCCCACAGCCTATCCCTGTAATACAGTTTTTCACGCATTGAATTTTGTTTTTAGTGTTTTTCCTTTCTTTTTTAAACATTTTATTATTATTTAAAAAACTTAGCATTATTTATTTTTAGTTATCTAAACTTTGTATCTCATTTTTGCATAATTTCCAATACTGGAGGTATATATCCTACAAGAACTTTTAGAGAGTTCTAATTTATCTTATGCAATTTTTGCAACTCTGACTCCATAACAGTACATTGTCACAATGTTGTCTTTATGTGTAACCATTGCCTGTGTACATAAAAGTGTGGACATTTCCTCAATAAATGTGGATTTGCATTTGTGAATAAAATTTCTTGGC